TCACCACCACCACCACCACCACACCACTACCACTACCATCACCACTGCCACACCACCACCACCACCACCAACAACAACAAATGGAATCAGTTGAATATGGGCGAAAAACTCTGCAACTATAAGCCAAACAAACCTTTTCTTTTCTTAAATTGATTTTGATAAGGTATTTTATTACAGAGACAGAAATAAGACTTATGAAATATGGTTTTCCATCTGGTTCACTCTGTGTTCAGAAAGCCAAACCAAACAGTAGCTTAAAATTAGAAAACAGGTGGCTGGAATGATCCGGTCTGATGTCAACATGTCCAGTGGCTTTTGTTCCTATGGGTATCTTATTCAGAATTGGCATTCAATACAACACAGAAATACTCTCCGAATTCTCAAGTCTTGACCCTTGTGCTATTTATCATCAAATGTTATAGGATTCCTAATTGAGCTTATTTTCAGGGGAAAAAAATTGTGCCTTATTCTGTTTTCAAGGGCCCCTTCAAACCCATTTAACTTGGTGAGTGATGTATGCTCTTCTGTGGATGTTGTTTAGTTTCATCTTAAAAAGAAAAGACAGCTACCGAGTAGGACTTGACATGTCCACAGCTTCAGCCTGCTTTAGCTGCTGATGAGACCCAATTGTAATGAACAGGCAGGTGACATCTCTCAGCCAAGTTGGTCATTCTTTGATATACACCCACATGCACACATTCTAGGTTTGAAAAAAAGCCTAGAGCACTTTTACCATTAATTTAAAAAACCCAGTGTTCCTGTTAAAGGAAATTTAATACATAGGGTTCTTGATGAGGGAATACCTTTCTGTATGCTGTAAATATGTGTTGCTCTGATTGGTTGATAAATAAAATCGTTTGGCCTATGGCAAGGGTGGGGGGACACCAACCTGCCATCTGGGGAGCAGCATGTAATGGAACATGGGTAGAGCCACAGAAAATGTAATGGCACACAAGTAAAGCCACAGAAAACATGGCAACATATAGATGAACAGAAATGTGCTGAGTTTAAGTGTAAGAGCTAGTCAATAGGAAGCCTGAGCTAATGGTTGAGCAGTTTTAATTAATATAAGCCTCTGTGTGTTTACTTGGGTCTTAGCAGCTGCAGACCGGGTGGGGCACAGGAAAACTTCCAGCTACAGGTTCTGAATCATTTACAGTTAAATCTTCAAAATATGAGTCTCTAAGGAGCAACTAGTGTCTAAGAAATCTTAACACACACACACACAGAGGCACACACAGAAACACACATGTGTATGCATGCATATGTGTGTGTGTGCTTGTAAATTTCTTCAAAACAGATGTTGTAGTCTCGGTGTACTCACAGTGTCAACAGGAGTGAACACCTCACCCTCCCGTTGCAGGAGGGAAGACATGAAAGTGGAGATGGGGAGATGAACGTGCCAAGAAGCACTGACCTCAGCCTCTACAGACACGAACATAGCCCATGCTTCCAGGTCTCTACTTAGCAATGTCTCACAGTCAAGGGAGCCGCAACTTTTCCATTCTGAAGGTGTGCTGAGGTTGGCAGAGAAAACTTGCTAGCCTTCTGCAGAGAAGACCCACACAGGCAAGACCACCCCTCCCTTCCCCTCCACCCCCTCCTTTTTCCCCTTTAAAGAAAGTGGTCATAATGTGTCCTTTCATTTATAATTTTATGGCGGTCTCAATTGAACGTGTAAAGAAAGTGGAAAAATGCTAAGTTGCCATGGACGTTTGGCTTTTTGCCCACTGTACTACAATCTGCTCTCTCCCCCAGAGCAAAATGATTTCAGAGGTTCTGATAGGAAGAATGCAGCACAGAAAGGCAGGGCCTTCAGGAAAACTACTTATTTTCAAATATGATCGGTTTAGCTTTTCATATGGTGAAAAGAGAATTCCGTTGCACCCCATCACTCTTGTAACTCCCGTAAGCAAAGGCTCTCATTGGATGGCTTCTTTCACAAGTGGGGCTGCAAAGTGCTGAATAGCCAGCCAGGCATCTCTTCTGTGGCTTGCGTGTGTGTGTGTGTGTGTGTGTATGTGTGTGTGTGTGTGTGTGTGTGTGTGTCTGTGTCTGTGTCTGTGTATGTGTGTACATATCTGTACATACATGGGCACATGTGTGTGGGAGTGAGTGTGCATGGGAGTGGCGGGATATCAGGAGTCATCCTCAATAGCTCTGATTCATTGAGGCAAGGTCCATCAATCCAGCTGATAGTCAACCCAGCTGAATGGCTGACCTTCTTGGCCAGCTTGTTCTGTGGATTCCATCTTTTCTTTCTAAGGCTGGAATGACAGGTGGCAGCCACAATCACCAGCATTTACATGGACTCTGGGGAACTGGGCTCCGGCCTTCAACTATTGGCAAGCACTTTAACCAGGTCCCCAGTCTCTACTTTCTGATTTTCAGATTCTATTTTATTAGCTTCATAGCATTCTCCAGAGTGCAGGCACAAGGGGCTGTGCCTTCAGCTTTCAGGAAGGATCTGCCCCCCATCTCCGATGTGGCTTTATGCCTCTTGAAATCATTATCAGAGGACGAGGTTGTGTGCGTTTTTAAATTGCTTTCTTTTGAAGAAGATCAACAGATGCTAATATTTGCTGGCACTTAGGAAATGATTACTACCAGCTAGCATTATGTTTAGGGTATTTAATTGGCACAGTTGTCCATGTCGTTTGCTAAGGAAACTGTGGCTTATTTAAGAACAAAAAAACCATGTTGTAGATATTGATCAGATAAACCAACTGCTACAGTGCCAGGCTACAATGGAACACAGGCCAGACAAATTCCTTGTGTTGATGTGTGTATTGGAAACCCAGGATCAGAGATGGGCTTTTCAACTGAGAAACTGAACTACTCCTATAGTAAGGACTGTTTTATTTTACTTAGCATTTTCATTTATTTTTGAGAATTTCATATAACATAATTTGGTCATATTCTTTTCCCTCTCCCAAAGTCTTCCAGATCCTCCCTCTCCTACCCACCCAACTTCCTAATTTTTCTTTCTCTCTGAAAAACAAAAAAAGAGAACAAACAAAAACATTCCTCCCCCTCAAAAAACCTAAAACCATAGAGTCTGATACTTGTTGACTGTTAACTTGCCAAAACATTTTAATGTGCTTTTAAGATATTTATTTATCTATTGTGTGTGTAGGAGGGCAGATACGTGTGTATATGTTAGGTGTATGGGTTAGTGTGTGAATTATTGCGGAGGCCCGATTTTGACACGGAGGAGTCTCCCTAACTGCTTTTCCATCTTACTTTTGGAGACAGGGTCTCTCACTGAGCCCAGATCTCACTGATTCTTGTTGGCCAATGAGTTCCCAGGACCCTCCCGTCTCTGCCTCTGCCATGGCAAGGTTGCAGGTGTGAGCTGACACACCTTGTGTGTTTAGGTGGGTGGAGGGATACGAACTCAGGCCTCCATGCTTGCAGAGCAAGTGTTTTAGCCACCAAACCTGACAAAAAAACAAAACAAAACAAAACAAAACCAAAACAAAACAAAACAAAAAAAAAACAAAACAAAAAAAAAAAAGAAAACCAAAAACCAAAAAAACAAAAAAAGCAACTCTGGCTCTACATAGTAATTTGTAAAGCTCACGGAATAATTTGCATATAGCTAGAGGTAAACGTTCTCCCCATCAATATTTATGGATATTTCTTGTTATTTGTTCCTGATGTGCTTGCTTGGTGAATGCTAACTCTGGGGTGGATAAGGCTGGAAACAGAAGGATAAAGGAGATGGAGTACCTCGTGGTGACTAACTTAGTAGCAGAAAAACTTCTAGAAATCCCAGCCTGGGTGAAGGGAGCAGGGACTGGACCTGCCTGGACTGAATCTACCAGGCTGAGCTGAATCCCCAGGGGAGTCCTTGCCCTGGAGGAGATGGGAATGGGGGGTGGGTCGAGGGGAGGGCCGGGGGGGTGGGAGGAGGGAGGACAGGGGAATCTGTGGCTGATATGTAAAATTAAATTAAATTATAAAATAAAAAACAAACAAACAAACAAAAAAGAGTGTCTAAAGCATGCTTCTTGAGTAGCATTTACTTTACCACGTCCTGCTGTGGGATGTTCTGTATGGCAAATGTGTTGCTGATTGGTCCATAAATAAAACACTGATTGGCCAGTGGCTAGGCAGGAAGTGTAGGCGGGACAAGGAGGAGAATAAAGCTGGGAAGTGGAAGGCTGAGTGAGAGAGACACTGCCAGCCACCATGATGAGAAACAGCATGTGAAGATGCCGGTAAGCCACGAGCCGTGTGGCAAGGTATAGATTTATGGAAATGGATTAATTTAAGCTGCAAGAACAGTTAGCAAGAAGCCTGCCACGGCCATACAGTTTGTAACCAATATAAGTCTCTGTGTTTGCTTGGTTGGGTCTGAGTGACTGTGGGACTGGCAGGTGAGAGAGATTTGTCCTGACTGTGGGCCAGGCAGGAAAACTCAAGCAACAACGTCCCTTTCAGCTTAGACTTGATGTTCTGTGAGGAATGCCAAGAGGGATGGTCCTCCACACACTCAGACACCTTTTGTCATGCCTAGAAACTTTTCTGGTTTTTTTTGCCCCAAAGAATCAGATTAGTTCGTGCTATGATTTGAAGTTCTGGTAATTAATATGTGAATGATGCAAGCACACCCAAATCTAGTTTTGGTTCCCTTCTGGCTTTAAGCTCCAGAAAGCAGGGTGGGCAGAGGGGTGGAATCCATTCACAATTTGCCTTTGTTTCGAACATTTTAAAAAAAGTTTTATTTTTTATTATGCTGAATTACATCGGCTTTTAAAAGTTATTTTTTCATACAATATATTTTCATCATTTTCCCCATCCCCAAACTTGTTTTTAATAATTCCAGTTGTATGTACAAACATCTGTCCCAGCTCATGGCAGTATTGGAAGTTCCACCCTCCCATGGCTCTCCTCTGTATGGATAGTAAAAACCAAGCAGAGACGCTAATTAGCTGATCATTAGCAGGAAGGTGAAAGATCACACTTAGATTTACATGTTGCCTTCTTGTTCAAAGAACAGTGTCAGCATCCACTAATTAATCCATCAGCGAAGAATGCTGCCAGCATCGCTCCATCATTAGCCAATCTCCAAAAGAAGCAAGAGGACCTGCTGATGGGCATCCGATGGCTTCGAATGCCTCTGTCATTCATTTTTCATCCATCAGGTAAAGTGCCAGATCTGAATCCAATTTCTAACCCATTACTTTTATTTACAAATGTATTCTTATTTTATGAAAAAGACCAAAGTTATATAACAGATGGACATAAAAACAAATTAATAACCAGAAGTACTGCCTTTAATTTCGGCCTTTTATTAATGTGTTTCAGTTTCTACAAGTTGTGTGTGTGTGTGTGTGTGTGTGTGTGTGTGTGTGTGTGTGTGTGTGTGTCAAGGTCAGAGAATGAAAGATTCCCTTCAGGCTGTGGCTTTCTGTATATCAAAATATTTCTGTATGTCAAATAATTAATTAAGAATCAGAATTTTGTCAAGACTAGGGAGGCACATGATTGTATCCATAAGAATCATTCATTCATTCATTCATTCATCTGATTTGGGAAATTCTTTTTGTAATGGTATAATGAACAGATAAATGTTTGAATTTGTAGAGAAATTCTAAAAACACAAAACAACAAAAAAGGCACTTTAAAAATGAGGACAATCTGGGGCTGGAAGATGGCTTATCAGATAAGAGCAGGTACTGTTCTTCTGAAGAACCAGAGCTTAGTCCCCAATACCCACAACAGGTGCTTCACAATTGCCTGGAATGCCAGCTCTAGACTGTCCAGTACTTTCTGGTATCCTCAGGTACTTACGCTCATGTGCATATACCACCCCCACCCCTCACCATGAGTATGCGTGCGCGCGCGCGCACGCGCACACACACACCCCTACACACAATAAAAAATGAAAACCAATCTTATAAAAAGAAAGAGAAAGAAAGAAAGAAAGAAAGAAAGAAAGAAAGAAAGAAAGAAAGAAAGAAAGAAAGAAAGAAAGAAAGAGACTGTTAGGCATCGAACCTCTAAATTCAAATGGTTATTTACTATCCTTTCTCTGAAGCATAGCCAGTCCCCCTAGGCTCAAAAGATAGACAAACAGGAAATTAGGTCAATTTAAATTTCCGTTTGGGGGTTGGTTTCAATTGTGTTTGTATTTAATGACAAAAATCTCCCCAATTCAGTAAAACTAGATGGTCTATGGAAATTGTTTGTGGAGCTCTTTTCTTCCTATTCACTTTATTGAAAACTGTAGCTCAGCTCTGATTTCTATCAACTCCCCTGCCATCCTTTCTTAATCACAGTAAATGAAAGTCACGATATGTTTTTCAATTAGAACTTGGTAAGTTCATTTTCTCACTGTGAGTGGTCAGAGTCCACCGCCTTCTGAGAGGAAAGCTAGGAAGCACAGATCACACTCAGCTGGCTAGAGATAAACAGAAAACACACTTTAAAAAATAAGAAAAAGAAAAATCAGAGATGCAGTGAGCTAATGGAATCAAGCCTAGATGGCGGGCGGCAGAGCCAGAATGGAAAATCACAGCCTGAAATGCCACTGATATTCAAGAGTGCGACTCTCTGCAAAAGTCCTCTCTTTTGATGGTAGTCGAAGCCCCTTTAGAAGCCCATCCATTCCTAAGATTCTAAAAGAAAGGCTGCAATCTTCAAAACAGTGTAGCTTTTTATCCACTGTTAATGTGATTTCTTTTTCCTCAATGAACTTATCTTTTTATCTTCTCACACCTAGGGATTTCTCTGTGTTCATTTTGTGGGCATGTCCACACAGACAAAGTGAATGACAGTCTACTGAACCCCAATAGCCTCTCTTCCTCCATCACATCAAGAGGATCACATTTCCCTTGGGATTTTAGAGTGGCCTTAAGCACCCCGTAAGGCCACTGTGTTCTTGCAGCCATACTTAGTGGTTCATTTGGAAAGGTACTTAGGCTCTTGACTAAATAAACTCCTTCAAGGACAATGACTGGGGACACTGGGAACTGCTTTTCCATGCATGAGTCTTTCTTTCCTTATGAAGCTTCTGCCTAATGAGTTGGTGACTCCTCTGTTTCACACAACAATATATATCTGATTCATTCTATGAGTCTGTTTTATAGGCTAGTATAACAGGTGATGTGCAGCCTTAAAATACCTTGGAAAGTATATAGGAGCTAAGAAGATGATCTTGGGAGACACTGGTGACTTTGAAATTCTAATTCTTAGAAAGTCACTTGATAGCTGAAATTTCGTACTAAAAGAAAAGCATCATGAAGGTTGAGTATCTTATATTCCACATGCTTAGGAACAAAAGTGTTTCAGATTTTAGAGATTTTCAGGGTTCTTCTTTTCTTTTTTTAATTTTTGTAGTCTTTACCAGTTGAATTTCAGTACACTCACAGTGTTGGCATTTAGGGTGTCTTGGAATTTGCATTTTCAATTTAGAAATATTTAACCTGGAATAAAACTTTTGAAGAAAGCAAGTCTTGATTATTTCAGAGTCGATAATGCTGACACCATTCATCTCTCCTAAAGATGAACTAGAAAAATGAAAGTGTATGGATGAACAGTTCAGAGTATACCTCCAAATCCCATAGAAGAATAGCAACTATAAAACATGAAAAAAAAAACCCAAACAAAAAACCCACTAAAGTGAAAAATTAACATAAACAGCAAAACCATAGTCCAGTTAGCAAAGGAAGGGACAGATAGCTTATTTGCTGATGTACTGTCATTCCCCCCACTCCCCCAGGAAAAAGCTCCAGCTAGTGTCTATGTTTTAAAAGCCCACATTGAACAATCCCACCTAGCTGGACCAGCTGTGAGACCTTTACTCCTTAGACTAAGAAAATCCTTTTATCCATAAAAATAAGACCAGTCCAGAACAACTTTGGAGGCTGACCAGCTATCCGGGCACACCATGAACTCTTTTGATTCTAGCATTTGGAAGATCAGCATTCTAGGTAATCCTCGAGTCCTGAACAAGCTAATAAAGTGAGTTGGTCACCTTTTCTTTCTTTTTAAGAAAACCATGAGTAAATACATCCAAGATGTATAAGACCATGCCCTACATATATGAGATCTCAATTTAGTAAATTGTCATAGTATGTGTACAGGTGTCAGCCCCTAATCTCTCTCTCTCTTCCTCCACACATTTTTGGATGTGTCTTTGTAGAACAAGCAGGAAGTAGAACTTTCCATGGCCAGTTGTCAACCTGGGTGACACCCTTCTTGGTGGCCTTGAGGAGCTTGGAGGCAATATATCGTGTACCTTCCTGAGGACAGAGTAGATATTTCCCTGTATCCTCTGTGATTGTCTATGAGCAGATCTACTTAGGCCAAAGCCTCAGTACCTTCCAGGGAGATGAGAGGTAGAGTGTGGCGTGCAGAAGGGATGGGCATTGAGCACGCGTGCGCGCGCGCGCGCGCGCGTGCGCACACACACACACACACACACACACACACACACACACACACACACACACCAAGGCTTGTTATAGTTCTGTCTGCTGTGCTGCGATCCTGCAGACTCATCTGCGTGCCTTTTTCTTCCTACAGATATTTTCAGTTCCAAATCTTCAACGATTTTCTTTTCTCATAATCACAGCAGTGAATACTTGCAAACACCCCTATGTCTTGGAGCACCTATCAGTGCTTTTACATCATTAGGTGTCTTATTACCTCATGAACCCCAACAGTGGCAAGTGTTGTCTTTTCCATCTGGTGGATGGGGGCATGAAGACACAAGGTGGAGAGATTTGCTTGGGGTTTAAGGATGGATTGGCAGGAGTCAACCCAGTGAAGGTTAGTTGACTGTATAACATCTCTTTACCTAGCTCATAGGCCTACTGGGCTCACAGGGCTGCAGTGATTTGGTGCATGAAAAAGGTTGTGTACCTTGAGCTGGAAGCCAGTGTGCTCTCAGTACTCTTGTATCACTGCTTGCTCGTTCTTACCTTGTTGTCTCAAACTACACATGCTTTGAGAGACAATATGTCTGCCATGAGTAAGTAGGTCCCCTCTTTAATCAGGAAAACAAAGCCATATTTCCTTGGGGATGCAATTTAGAGCAAAGAATTGTCCCCAGTTTCTCAGGTCAGTTATGGCTTTGTCCTTTCTTCCCTCTCTGATGAGGTTTCCTGCATCCCTGTGTGCAGTGCAAAGGTGGACCCCATAGCTTTGAAGGTGGGAAGAAGATGATTAGAGGCCAGCTTAGGATCAAACCACCATTTTACTGCAGATTAATTAGCGTTCAGGCCTGTTTTTTGAAAGCCCAACTAAACAGGAATGCCCTCAGCAGACAAAATGAAAGGAGCTGAGCATTGGAGCATGCAAGCCAGCGTTTGCTTTGGATTAGACCCTCACAGAGGGTGTGTGTTCACCTTCAACGTTCCCCATTTAGCTGGACTCGTCTGCTGATTAATGGAGGCTGTAGACTCGAAATGACATCCTCATCGGGGCAGCAGAAGTGGCAGAAACTTTGCCAGGTGTGGCTAGTTTATGTTCAGGTGTGGACAGGATGGTCATTGAAAGCAGAGCCTGATTTCATCTCCTACCTAAACTCAACACGTCCACCGCCCCAGCCCTGGCAGCATCGCCTTGCCTGCACGGCCGTCTTTTCCTTGTTGGGCATGCAAACCTTTCACTCATCAGAGGCCCAGAGCACTTTGGAAGGCTCGGATGTGTCAGTATCAGTAAGCTAATGGAAGCCATGTGTTCCCAGAGTGGAAAAAAAGCTGGCCTCTTAGGCATCCAGACGTGGCTTGCTGAAGTGAGTCTGAAGGACACTCTCTCCTGGAGTTGATTCTTTTCTTAGCAGTTGTTAGTTACTCTGAAGATTAGCTTGCTGATGTTCCACCTAATGACCCCAAGCTTAGACATATAGGACTCATTCAACAAGGGCTGGGGAAGCAGCTAAGGTTTATCAAACATATCGAGGCTATGCAGTTCAACGATGCAATGATAGTCAGAACCATTATTCCAGCTAGCTGTGTGTTTAGTGCTCATACCTGCCTGCTGAGAGTCCTGTGTTGATGGCCCTCTTGAATCCTGACCCCAAGTCCGGAACTAGGCATTACCATTTCCCTACTGTACATTGACGCCTTTCCACAGGAGGGCAGAGGAATGTCTCTGACCGTGGACACAGTGGCATGGGATTGTCAATTTAGTCTTT